AGGAACAGATACAAACATTCCGTCACGCGTCATCAGAGTCGCCGTCCCGCGGGGGTCGTGTCACCGAGGTCGCTGATAGGGGAGGGAGAGTCTGTCTACAGGAGAGGGATGGGAGCGTGGACTCGAGGGCGGGGATTGAGCCCGGGGGTTTGGGCTCCGGGAAGAGGGCAGTGAGTTGACCCAAGGACTGGGGGGGACTGGAAGCAGATTTGAGTGAAGACACTACACTGTTGAGAAATGACCCTGTGGCGACAAATGGACGTGGGAAGCAACTGCAAGTGGTTGCCCCGGTTAACGACAGTCTCTTAGTCTCACAAGCTCGAGAGCTCTACGTTCTGCAGTCACATATCATCCTTCGATTGATTTTATGACTGGGAAGGTCTACTCAAGATCATTTCATTCCTTAACTATCTGGCCCCGTTAGACGGTATTACAATTACCGTTTACCTACGAATTTTTCTTCGTCATTTTTACCAGTTTTTTTTCCTTACCCTTTTGTCATTTTACCGTTGACTTTGTCATTACACCGTTCTATGTCTTATTACATTTACTTACAGCTCTCTAACTAATGTCACCATCATTTAACTACCACCCCCCCCACCCCTCCCCTCCTCCACCCCTCCCCCCTCGGTTTTGATGACGGACGCTCACCAGCTGACCGCTAAAGGCCGGCCGGACCCGTTACCCATATCTCTGTGCCGTTATACAGTCGGCCCGTGCAGCCACGGCATGTGAGAGTGCCAGCTACCGTACGAAGACTCTGTTTATTGGTCGGAGTGCACCATCGCTTGGCGCCATTTCGCTGCAGTTGGCGCCGTTTATGTGTGGTTGGTATCGGCTTGTCACTTTCGGCGCCATTGCGCCGGCTTTTGGACGCCATTTTTCTGCAGTTAGTGCCATTTTGGGTAAAGGACTCGCTTCTCTAATAGTTGGCGTAAGTTGCTGCAGTTATTGCGCTTCCTCCAGGTAGCTGTTGTCAGTTTGTCATATTTTGCTTGTGCTGCATATCTTTGTGCCTCCCTAGAGTGGGTCTTTCTTTCTCAGCTGACTTCACCTGCTATCGGCCTGATGACGTCACTTTGTTAGACCAGCGTCAGTGGCACGCATGACGTCAGTTTCTGTCCGCAGTCTGCGCTAAGTTGTGTGGACAGGTAGGGGAAGATACTGGGGAAAGGCAGCTTGGTGGGAAAGGCATTTGGTTCGAGAAACTAGACAAAGACATGTGTGTGGTTTCGCATGTGATGCAGCGGGGTTGCCAGTAGTCAGTACTGCAATGCATTCCAATGAAAAACAACACCATCTGGTCTGGCGACTGGCATCTATGCAGAAGAAAGTGATGAGTCTATTTTCTTGCCTAGGGCCGTGCCAAACTTCCCATTTTGTTGAAAGCATTAAAGCGATTCGAAAAACTCAAAATGTGCATTGAAGTTGCCGATAATTTTTGGCTCTCTGGGTTACAGCATTGCTATGTTTACCATACATCACAATTGAATTCAACACTTTTGCTTTGCGTAACAATCTTATCATGCTATTTCACCACGAAACCTTCATTTTAGTAGTTGTTGGTAACAACGAGGCACCACGGCCTGTCCACGCCACATCACCTCCCTTTCCTCGTTTCTTCTCAACGACCTCCTCTCCCGCCCACCGCCCACTGCACAGTGGCCCTTTTTCAGAATTAGCACGCATAAATTCAAAATATTTTTCTCTTCTTTTGAGTAAAAAGGAGTCTAATCGTGTGCAAAACATTCCAAACTATCCGATGGTGCCATTTTTAGCTCCTAAAAAAATAATTATCTTTGGTAAAACTGACCGCAAAATCGAAGTTTGTCGAGAGGCGCGCGGACACCACCGGCGGACCCTAAAAGTAGGGTGAGATGAACATCAATTTGTAAGGCTTTCGGTGAGAAAATATCAAGAATTAGTGGCATGGCTGTGAAGCTGAGTTTACGTAGAAGCCCTAGAAACCACAATTTTCATTGTATAAACTTAAATGGACCACTTTTGCCGAATATTGTGGACACAGTAACAGGACAATTATTAACTGGAGATGGCGGCATACATATGAAGCTTTATGTTAAGTAGAACACTCTGGAACATGTCGTATTATACATCGTTCGAATCGCCGATCTCTTCTGACCATGTCCACCAAAGGGCATCGCGCCATTTTGCGCCATTTTGCTTCTACGGTGGATAACGTGAGCCAGTTCAGTCCGCGAGCGGCTGTGGCTCCTGTTCGATACGACTAAGCTCATTGACCTGGCTCGAAGCTGGTGTCACCTGGCTTGCGCCTAAATGTGGCTTGACTTTTGCCATAAGATGTGCTTATTGAAATGTCATGTAGGCATAACGCTGTGCTCAAGAAAAACTGTCCGATTTCTTGTCGCGTTTGATGTCCAAGCCGCACAAGTCCCGTGGTCGGCTTGAGATCGAACGTCAAAAGCGCCTATGTGTTTGTATTGTTCGCGTCGCGCTGACCTTAGTTGCTGCCCGGCCGGGGCCGACTATCGGTGGCTGGCAACAGCTATAGATGCGGTCACGTGACGCCCTGGGGCGTCCTGGCGGTCAGTGCAGCGCGGTCGGCTGGCGGGCTCGCCACACTTGCGTTCGGAGCGGCCTGGGCCGGTGGGCGAGCCGTGCGAACGTGCGCCAAATCTTGGGCCGAGCGGCCTGTCGCTGTTGGGCCGAATCTCCTTGGGCAGTTCGTTTCTTTTCTTCTCTTTGCATTGGCAGGGAATACGTCCTTGATCACGTGGTGATGTCTTGCACCACTTTCAGGTAATGTGGGAATTAATGCGTGCTAATTCTGAAAAAGGGCCACTGTGCACTGGTCCCAATCTACCTCGCCCGTACCCGATGGCTCGGTGACGGCAGTCCAGGGGCGGTGTTTTCGTTCGCGACTCTGTTTAGGCGCTCCGTCGTCGTCTTGTTGCGAATGGCGACCGATGGAGGCCGACGCGCCCCCGACTGGTGGTGAGAGCTGGGTCCGGCAGTGGTGGCGCTGATGCTGCCGCCGCCCAACCCCCGGCTACGTTACGGACGCTGCTGCCTCCGCTACGGCTCCCTCGCTCGCTCCCTCGCCCTCTCCCTCGCCCTCTCTCGCCCTCTCCCTCGCTCGCCCGCTACCGCCGCCGCTGCCCCTGTTCTCGTCCTCTCCCCGTCGACCCCGCCCCGTCTTACCGCTGCCTTCGACGCCCAACTGCCATAAACGGGCACCCCTGTTCCGCGGCCACCGCCGCGGCCACCTCCCGGTTCTCTTATCTTTTCCAGCCCCAGCAGATGAAACTGGCACTTGGTAATGACGGCAACTTGATGTGCGTGGAGGCTAGATATGTACTTTAAAGAAAAATTATGACCCAGGGACTTTTCTACTAAAACTGGACTTTTCTATCATCACGGTTCATAACGCTTAATGTTAATGCTAAATAAATAACGCTAAATGTTATGTAACTGCCCCTGGTGCTTATATGCTGCATGTTGCAAGCATTGCGTTTAAGTTGTAGGTATATTTTGCGACAAAGTCCCGGACGTTTTACAAAATGTGAGCGTTTTAGGCCACGTCCAGCGTTGGTAAACCCGCTCTCTTTCTCCCGGGAGAGCCTCTAGCACAGAGTCTATCCACGCCCTCTCCCCCACCCCCTCCCTCCCCTCCCCAGCTCGTGTCGGCTCCTGAACGCGTGTTATCGCTCTCATTAGGTCATCGACGCTCTGCAGTTCGCTAGATGGCGCCCTGGCCAGGGGCGCGCGGACCAGCGGATGTATACACGTACCGAAAGTCGACACCGTCAACGATTGAAAACGGGAGCCGAGAGAGCCCCTGCTTATCCATGGTTAGTGATGGGAAGAGATTCATGCACGGTACGGTACAAAAATATTTGTTCTGTAGCGCATCAGGCTCCACCTCCAAGCTCCCGTTGGTTGAAGCACCGGTCTTTGCTATGCTCGATGCAGAGCACTTCCTCAAATAAATGATCGGTGGTTGTTTTGATCAGACATGAGCAATCGAATGGTAGGGGGATTACAATTGTTTGCCAATTTCATGTTCTCGCTCTTTACAAAGATCCATCCAAAGTTGTGGGCTAATGCTCACGCATCTATAGCTCTCATTCTGTCTTATTGCATCATGGATTCGATATTTTGTGAATGATTGGGAAGTTGTAAGGTCTTTACTGGTGAATAAGATGAGGACAAAAATATTAAACATCCTTTTAATCATGAACCGAAGTCTTAACACAAGCGAACGGCGACGTTTGAACTAATGAGAAATTCACAGGAATGTGAACACAGATCTCAAGTAATCGCCTTTCGTCCGAGTCGGACGGATAGGCCCTCTAAAAAAAGCAAATTAAGCTACCACTTCTCTAACCATGGGTGTTATGGTGCGTATCAATCAACGCACCATAACGACGGAATGACGTGGCAGTCAAATAGTGCCGTCAACTCGAGATAAAAATGACGCACATGATCAGCATCATCATTTGATCAGCCGCCCTGCCGCCCTTCGTATTATCAGAAGCGGAACAGCCTCGAACCGCTAACACTAATTTGACGACAGATGCTGGTCGGCACCCCATTGGTGATCTGGACGCGATGACGTCATTAGTGTTACTGAGGGGTGGTGCGGCTATATATTTTCTGATCAGTTAGTCGTTGGTATTGGATTGCGATTATGATAAACACGGTGTTCGGTTTTATGTTGCAGGGAATTTTCTTTGTTTTGAACGGTTTTTTGTCTTCGCCATTCAGAGCGTTAACTCAGTGCCAGGCTGCTTCCAATAAAAAAGCAGCCAAGCATTGGTGACGAAATATTTTTTTGAATGACCTACGTATATAACCCATCGGCATGCCATTTTCTTATTAATGAAAAAATATAAGGAACACATTCATAACATTTGCAAGGTGATTGATATGTGTACTGGTGTGAATGAAGTTTGTGTCTCGCCTTGCAAGCTCAGATGCAGCTTGATTCTCTCGAAGAACATGTGATACAAACTGTGAAATTTATCAACGGCAATTTTTCCCTCGTATATTCATGGCACAGATAAAACAACATATTTTTACAAGGTAAGAAATAGAGCAAATGACTATTTAATTGATAGGTTACCTGCAACTAAGCGCACACATTGATCAGGAATTATGCGTTAGGCGACAAAAGGCACATAAGTTCTAAACTGTATGTCTCACATTCCCATCCAACCAAACAAACAACACACAAACACACTTTGACATAAGCTTATCGGAAAGCACAGATAAAACATGATCAACAATCTAACCGCATCAATTAAGCTTAACGAAAGAAGTCAACACATCCATTTAATTCCTGTCACAAACTGCCAACATAAAAACTGTACACAACGTGCCCACGCTCAAACTAACGCAATGTTGGTTTTAGCAACGCTAACTTATTCAACACTTTAGCAGACGCACTCGCGCCATTTCTCTCGCGCCACATTCCACTCATCACCTCTGGTCCGGCTCATTACAAACGTGCCATTTTGCACGCGCAGTTACCGACCGTTTTGGCACGTGGCATTTGGCACGTTTTGGCACGTGGCGGGTGGCGTTGTGACGTGCCAAAGCGTACACTGTTGTATCACTGAGTCTCTTCCTGTGTGATCTTTCAGGCACTGAGTTTTAGAGCGATTTTTCCTTTCCAAGGCACTTAGCACGGCTGATTGTGTACTGTGTAGTAGTATTATTTCGTGGCATGCCATAACATTTTGTTGCAATATCTGCAGTGTTATGTAACATTTTGTTACAGCTTCAGACATTACACATAGTCGTTCAAGTCCGCTTCAACATTTGTGAACGAATGACACTATTCGGTCGGGAACATGGCACATTTCAGCGACACTTTTAACAGCAGAAAGTCTTCAATACAACAAGCTTAAACATACATTACTAACAACACTCCCCAGTTCCATTACTCGAGTCCCTTCTCTGACGTCATTTACCACGCTGTACCGATCCGTTATTGGTCAACGCCATTTCTTTGACGTCATCACATAAAAGTCCACGGATCATTGGCATCGTAAGGTCGCTGGCTGGGATACTGATACAGGTTCTGGTAGTACGCCATGTTTTCAGCTGAGTAGCCAGCTGACGGTGCAATCAGCTGACTGCTGAATGGCTGACCGCGGTAAACGCGCTCTTCATGACCCCTGTACAGTCGATCGTCGTCGGGTTTGAAGCCGGTTTGACTGTAGAAGGCATCACAGGCCATCGCCTGAGGCAGCTGAGAGAGCTGAGAAGAGGCGACGCCGACCCCGCCGGAGCTGCCTGTAATGGAACATATCCAATGTCACCTAAGATGAAAAGAGCGGAAACGTGTATTTTGCGGAGGCTCGATATATTAGGAATATCGTCAATTTTGTCACTGAATATTGACGATTTAGATAAGTGTAAAGTTTCTATTTTTGAAACGCCACAAAGACTGCCGCTGCAGATATTCATGATCGTCAGACTTGACACAAAAAAGCCAAACATTGCATAACAAGCAACTTCAAAACCCAGAAACCTTTCTCTCGAAAATCTCAATCTTCAACCTCTCCACCCCCCGCCCTCCAAAAAAAAAAACTCACCGGCAGCAGCGGCAGCGGCTGCGGCGGCCGCCTGGTGGCTGCGATACGAATCCTCCTTAGGCCACGTGACCTTGGACGCGTCTTCAGGCGACGCCTGGGGCATTGTGGGTCGGCCGGCGGCCGAGGCGCACGCTGATTGGCTGGCGACCGCGGTGCATTGACCTCGAGCCAGGGCGCTGGCTGCGGGTCGCGTACCGTAGCAGCTGAGGCCGCCGGGACTGCCCTGGAGGAAGCCTGGGAGAGAGGGGACAGAGAAGGTGAGAAGACGTCAAACGGGGAGGCCGGCTGACAGCTTGGGGTGAGTGTCTAAAGGCTCGGCTGATACATGTGTGTGACGGGTGATGCTATTCACGTTTTATGTTGCATATTACAAACGACCGTGTATGTCAGCAAAAATATTAATTATTGATGTTGTTCTTGCACTGCACCTTATACTTCATAGCGTATCAAGTGTTTTATTTTACCAATAAATTATGCTCAACTGAAAATCATCAATTGAGAAAGCAGTGAACACTGAACAGCGGTGATTGAATATTTCCCTCCGATCGATGCCTTCCTTTTTAATTGCTTTATTTTCCCCAAAATATTGGGTAATATCTACATAACGCCAGCGGATTGAACAAATTTATTTAAATTAAAATGTCCTAACTCATAACGTTGCACTTTTATGTTATCATTTCGTTACCAGGCGATTGAACGTACCCATTGCCTGTTTGTTGTCTCGTAGCAGTTCCGCCTGAGGCGTGGTCGGCGGCGTAGGAGGGCCGTGACCTTGACCCTGACCTTGACCTTGAGAGGCTGCCAGTCGGGCCGCCTCGGCTGCCTCTTCCATGGTGTGTTGCCGACTGCGATAGAACGGGAAGATCAGGGTTATGCTCTCATTACTTGGGGGGGGGGGGGGGGAGGTGGGCTCCCGGATTCATTTGCGAGTTTTGATAGCACCGGAAATTGTCAAAACTCCTTATTTGTTGTTTCTATGCAAAACGGTAGATGCAATACTATCTGTATTTCTAGGATTCTGACAATGGTAAGGGAAAAGCTCGTCGCTTTCCATCGAATCCGCCGCTGAGCACCTCCATCGGGTCAAAACATTTGTGAATACAAGGATTCAGGCGCTGTTTACGTGCTAGCCTCAATCCCCATGTACCAAAGTCAATAGCCTATTTCAATACAGCAATATGATTTTCTTACATTATCAAGGCTTCTGCTGCACTCGTAGTTAACTAGTTTTCCTCGGAATCATATGCAAGTTGCCATGACAACGCCTGCTCACCTCGTATTGAACACAACCGTGTTCCCCTGCTGACTGGCGGCACAGGCGGGTCCTTTGAGGGCTTTTCGGCGTCGGGGCTGATACTTGTAGTCAGGATGATCCTTTTTATGCTGCCGTCGGAGTTTCTCCGCCTCCTCAATAAAGGGTCGTTTGTCGGCATCGCTGAGCAGTCTGCGAAGGAAAGAAGGGTGTGGTAACGAGAACTGGAGAAAGATGTAAAATATTGGGCATAGATAACATGAACCATGTTATCTATGTCTTGGGCTATGGGGCAGCAGCAGTCTTCTGGGACTCATTTCTGGCGTTGTAGGCAAACAAAGTCTCGTAAGAGAGCATGCCCGACCTTTTCGTTTTTTGTTTTAGGGGAGTTGATGCGCATTTATTATGGGCCCTTGTGCGTGGCGCTTCGCGTTTCGGAAGGCGTTTCGGAAGGCGTGCTCCCAACTGTCAGTGATTGGTACTTAAATTGGTCGCAGGCTATATGCTAAAACCGTTTTTCCATGACCGGAATATCACCTTTTTCCTGCTTGGTCTTTTCCCACGCCTAAACTGCGTTACGCACAACATTTACGTCACAAGAGAACCACTCAAGTCCGGTCCCCAACTGCCGTGCTTCGCTACGTGTGGGGTCACTTCGCGTGCCTATGGGCGCGGCAATATTGTCTCGACACACAGGGGGAGAGTCAATATCACTATCTGTTTCTTTGTCACTGCGGCGGCCTCTGCAATGGCCCCGTATCTTTCAGTATGTGTGTTCTCCTGATTGGAGCTGTTTGCTTTGCTTACACGACAGTCTTGGGAATAGAAGGCACGACGAATGTAGCGGAAAAGCGGGGATGGATTGCGACTAGAAAAAAAATGAGTAGGTAAATGAGTGTCGAAAAAAAGACAGAAAAAGAAGGAAAGCAAGCAAAAAGTCTGCTGATCACGGCGCAGCTAATTTGCGTAAGAAATGGGTGTAACTAAGGGATTTCTAACCCTAAATGACATGTCTATTTAAAACGCTGTGAATTGATACTCCGATAAACTAAAGGAAAATGGGCTACCATCACTTGTATGGGGGGGGGGGGGGCTTACAATTCGTCATTTTAATTGCCTTTATCAAATTGTATTGCATGTAACCATCCCTTGCAGACAAATACCTACGATGCTCATCAGCCATTGTTATCTGTCGAGGCCAAACGATATCTCCAAGCTATGCGAAAAATGCCTCCGTACTTCTGAAAGCCTCATGATACGAATACCATGCACTATCTCAATCTCAAAGATCTACTGCATCCCATGCCGAAGTCATCTTGGCCGAAGTAATGGCGGGCTAATCTTGACGCGCCTTTTTCGATCAAAATTTACCCACACCACTTAGCAGCGTGCTAAGTGTTACACTTGAGCCACCGACCCACCTCTCCTCACTACATACACTCCGAGTCTCCGGTTCTCAACAACCTGCCGGACAGGCCTTTGATGTTGCGGGCGACCCCCTTTTCATCGTTATCAGTACCACCTGCATCGATTACATCCAATTATCGCTTTTCAAATAGTATTTACCGCCGAAAGAAGTGCTGCGATGTGTGCGTGGCGGTTGGGGTGGAATCCTTGAAGAAAGGGGAGGAGTTTGCTAGAGAAATGTTTGCAGGTGGTATTTGGTAAGCCGGAAGTACTCGTATGTCGGGGTAGACTGAAGATACAAGAAGGTATAGGATTCAAGCAGTAGGCATTCCAAGATTCCACAGACATTTACCAAATTCAAACTCGCACAGCATTCTGCTTTTGTACCGTTTTTCTACCTATTCCAAAATGACAGCATGCCTGAAATAAATCTCTTTCACGTGTACTACTGTCATGGTAGAAAAGACCGTTACAAATACATGAACATGTATTTGGGACCGACAGATCGAATTGGGAAAAGGATGGATACACAAACACCAAAGCGCTGCCTGAAAATAGATCGCTTCTCAATTCGAATCGCAAGCAAATCGAAGCAAATCGCAAGTAAATCGAAGCCGTTCATCTTTTCTGATCTTTACATGGGGCACCCATGTTGCCTTCATCTTTTTTCTCCACGGGTCATGCTTCTTCATTGCAGTTTATGTCCTCAAAACAGATAGTTCGGTGAGTCCCCCCCTTGAGCAATGTGCATGTCAGTCTTGATGACCTCTTAACCGACCCCAAATCTAGCCCCAGCAGTCTGGGCGTACCACCCCGACTAACCCTCCCCTCCCTCCGTCCACCCCAGTGGGCAGTCTGGGCGTACCACCCCGACTAACCCTCCCCTCCCTCCGTCCACCCCACCCTGAGAGCCCCATGATAAACCTATCGTTACCTTCATGTGATTGTGACGATACCTGCCTGCACGAGGGGCTGGCTCCTATCAGGGAATGCCAAACGGAGACTTGAAACGTCACTTCGGAGCCTCTGAAGAGGCTTTCTGGGAATAGGAGCTCTCCGAAATACTGGGTCGTCTTTGTGCGATTGAGGTGATGTTTTTTGTTGGTAGGAGTGGTGTGGGCTGATAACAATGTGGCAATGGGGTTATGGCGGCAACTGTTTGATCCAAGATGGGTGCTTGAGTGGTTTTGCATGTAACACTCGTTCAAATGAGATTTGGTCGTAAGTTGCGGTCGCCATATTGGTTATGCTTATCAGACATGATATGTTGCGATTAAATTTGATGCATTGTAAATAAAACAGCATATTTAGCTCTTATATACCATAAGAGCTTAGAATACTTGAGACTTATAGAATACTTAAGTGCATTTTAGCAAGATGAGGTACATTTTGCAACGTACCTAACTGTTCAATTTTCACATGGATCTGTTTTAGTGTTTTGTACCAACGCTAACGAAGAAAGCTGCATAGCTTTCGAAAGCTCCCATTCAATAAAAAATAGCTGGTGTTCAATTATTGCCTTCTATGACCGTCCACTATGCAACCGTCCCAGCTAAATAACAATATTTACAATTGCATTTTAGAACTTCTATTACTTTTACTTAATTCATAGTGAAAATGGAAAACAATAGGCCAGTTTTACCAGCAGAAAAATAGCCGCCTGCCGGAATTTTTTGTCAAAAGACCGCTTCACATACGAGCGTAAACGGTAAACCCCTATGCTCTTACATGCCCATCGCGTTTACGCTCTGTATGTGAAGCGGCCTTTAGGCAAAAAATTCCGGCAGGCGGCTTTTTCTGTTGGTAAAACTGGCCTCAGAACAGCGAAGTTTGTATTCAACTCGATATGTACTTCATTCTAACATCTTTCTGTTTTCACTAGCTCGTGCAAAAAGACCATGTCCATATTCAAAAGTCATAGGGGGGGGGGGGCGAAACGCCCCCCCCCCACGGCTGGTAGGGTCCGCAGATAGCCCTACGGGGCGCGGGCTAGCCTAATTGGATGGGATATTAATTAGCAGCGCAGGCAGTCAAGCCTAAATGTCGACGACTTCTAGCACGTGGCGCGGGGAGGGTCATCCCCCAGTCCTCACCCTCCGTCCCCTGACCGTCCCTGCCATAAAACCGGACGGTACCGGGTGTGTCCCATTTAAAAGGCAGCTCGGGAGCCGGGAGCGTCCTCTGACGAACTATTTCGAACATGAGACACTTCGGCCGTTATGGGGCAAGCTAACACATTACACAGCTTCGTATGGGTGGACAAAATTATTAGAGCATGCTGCTCTCACAATGCGATATGCATGCAAACTAGGCTATGTGCATTTTCACAATAGAAACTTTCGGGCTTACAAACGTCATAGCATATAAACGTGCAGATCAACTAGTAGAAACCTGAAATGTTGTTATGTAAAATAATTCCGAAAGAAGCGATGATAAAATTAAGTTACTTGCTCTAGCTTACTTAATTGAATAAAGTAAGCTTCAATGACGTAAACATGCTTCAAGTAAGATTCAATTATGCTGCTCGCCTTGGCTGTTTGTATGAATGCTAATGCGCTTATTTCTTTGAAGCTCGGATCAGCGCGCTTACCAGCAACGCCAAATAACAAGCGCATCTTCTCCGTCGCCCTAGACATTCTCACAATCTCCAGCACTCGTTGACAGTAAGCGGCAACCCATAACACGATTGTTTTACATTTATCCCTGTGATCCTCACCATCCGCCAACTCGACCAAACGAGAACACCGTGTTTTTGGAAGAAAGGACAACTTTTCGGACTGTTTGATCCAGCCCAGCCCACGAGGTTTGTTGGTTTAGCAAGTGGTGGCTCAAGGGAGGAGCGGGTCGTGCTAGAAGTGTCACCGGGAAGGGAGACAGACTCCGCCGTCATGTCGGCCATTTTGTCGGAGTGGTTGCAACATCGCATCAACAGGAGAAGCCATACATATGATGTCAGCACATGCTGACGACATGCATGTGTGATAGCGCTATTCTGGGAATTGTAGGAAAATTGGGTTAGGCAAAATTTGAAAATTTGCCCCTGTTTTGGAAAATACGGGCAATCATCGCGCTTTCATCTCCCCGTCATCTTATTTTTATTTTCCGATGAAATGAACCCTGTCTTTTCAGGCACCGATTTGATGTCTGCTTACTCATATTCTCGATAGCTCTTGGTAGGCTAGACTGAATTTGCTTATTTTGTTATGGTCATGTGATTTGAATTTTCACCACCATTTTGTCTTTATTTGTAGAAAATATTTGCCGAGCGCTACCATAATATCCGTAGTTCCCCTGCTCCTCATTCCGACAGTGCGCACCCGTGTATCTCTATTCTACCTCCCCACTGACATCTCATCCCTCTTCTCTTACAACCTCCCTGCGCCGCCGCACGCCGCCCCCGCGCCGCCGTGCGCCAGTTCACGTCTCAATCGCGGCCGCGTCACCAGTCGCAGACGCGCCATCCATAGTGGCGCGCCGGCCAAAGTCGCGCCATTTCTCAGCGCCGTTCGCGCCCTTTTTCGTGCCGCGCTTCGCCGAGCGCTTGACATGTCGCAGCGGGCGCGCGGTGGGGGAGCGCAGCGGGGCCTCTCTGGTCGCTCGTGGGGGCCCAGCGGGGCCCAGCAGGGACAGGGCGGGGTCACGCGGGGAGGATGAAAGCCAGAGAAGACCCCCGCTGTCTCGACAGCTTGCTCAATGACCGCGTAACGCGGCCAGAGACGCCGGTGATCGGCAAAGTCGGCCCCCAGCCGGCGCGGACGGTTCGCGCGGGCGCTACTTCTGCCGTAGCCGCGCCGCAGTGGCCGCACTATTACACACCAGTGACTGGTGAGAATTTGGCGCGGGCGTGGTGCAGGTGCGGCAAAGGTGGCGCGGAGGCGGCGAGGGTGGCGCGGGCGGGGTGTGGGTGGTATGTAGAGCAGTGGTGAAGGGCCGTGGTTGCCGGTCAGTCGAAGCCATCGACACGTGCCAGTCATGGGTCTGAAGGTGAATGGAATGCGCAAGAGAAAGTGTTCGAGAACACCCGGTGTCAGCTCCAGATGAACATATTTATCTTATTCTTATTCTTCTCACCAGCTTACACCACGGCCAATCTCATACTGTGTTTTCATTCGATGATGCCCTGTTCGTCTCCTTGAATGGTAGATTTGTGGCCGGAGCCCGCCGTTGCGTTTTTACGTTACCTGGAAGCATGCTGTGCCGCAACACTTTTGTGTCGTGCGGGTCAGCCTACCCTCTGCTGGAGCCGGCGGAACCGGCTGGCGCCGTGCGCTGGGCTGAGGCCTGAGATTTTGGCGAGCCGACGTTGGTCGTTGCTATACGAGAATCTTGTTCACGCTTTCTGATTCTCGGACCGGTGGTCTTACTTTGTCTTGTGGATAAGTCTATCATTTAAATATAACAAGCTCAGACACATATCATTCACCACTACAGTTTACAAGTTTTACTAACCTTTGAAACAAGGAATTAAATCAATGCATTCAAATTCGAGCTCCAAATTCCAATTTATGAATAGCAGAAAGCGAAATTGAAGAAAAGTACATGAACTTTTGCTAAAATGCTGTAAAACAAAAATATAACATACTGTTATTTACAAAAAAATGCAGTCTAAACACCGCCGAACGGACCAAAGACCATGCATGCCAGCCACTTATCCCATATATCAAGCATACCAACTGTCCCTTTCCTTTTATTCAGCATTGTTTCAAGTCACCACGTGCTGCCCTCTTACCTCCACAGTTTTCCGAGCGTCTTGCTAAGCTCGGCGTTGTGCAGCTGCGGGTACTGGTCGGCCAGTTTCTTTCTCGCCGCCTGCGCCCACACCATGAAGGCGTTCATCGGTCTCTTCACGTGGGATCGACCTCGGCCGGATGCTCTGAGGTAAGGGAAACGGGAAGGGGGGTTAGCATGGGGTACAATCGAGCCTCTATGTTCCTATTGTCATAAATGACCCCAGTTGAAATCAGAACACATTCATTTTTCTCAAACATTGAGATAGTCCAGTGATCCATTCGATTTCACAGAAATTCATTATCAACTTAAATTTTGATGCCGTCTCCACATTTCCTGCCAATTTCTCTCCTTCCTGCTCTCTCTGTCTCTCTTTCTCTCTCTCTCATCTCTCTCTCTCTCTCTCTCTCTCTCTCTCTCTCTCTCTCTCTCTCTCTCTCTCTCTCTCTCTCTCTCTCTCTCTCTCTCTCTCTCTCTCTCTCCTCTCTCTCTCTCTCTCTCTCTCTATTTTTTCCTACTCTCTCCCCCCTTTCCACACAATCATCTCAACGCAGATCGTTCCGCTTTTATCATCCCCTGCTCCTTTTTGCCCATTTTTATCAGAATTTCTCTTCATCATCTTCATATCACCGCCCTGAGAGCACGCGTGTATGAATCCCTGTCACGGTGGTCCGTCGCGTCGGCCGTCCATTCCAAACACGTGTGTCTATTACCCAGTGACGTCATATTGTGCGGCTGGCCTGTGATCACCGCGGCATGGCCCGTTACCTACCCCGCTGGCACCGTGTCACAGACCCCATTCATAGAAACGAAACCGAAAATCCACGAACGTCCGTTTCCTCTTATCGTAATTCATAGTCAATGAATAAAAACCACAGATTTTGTGTTTTCATTATGACTGAAATTAAGCATTTACCACAAATTCACGCGGACAAGTTTTGGTCGTTTGTCATAAACCGAGTGATTTATTGGTCTTGCAAGACTGCGAGCATTAAATCGTCCTACAGAGCCGCACTGGTGGCCGAGGTTGATGATGGAAGCTGTCACCAGAGTTCTTTTAAGCCGGCGGCTGGCTTCGCTTGGTTGCTGGAGCGTTACTGCAGCAGTCACTGGTTGTCGCACAGGTAAACTCAGGTGTTTTATTGTAGGAGACAGATTACCTGGTCTGGAGAGCGGGAAATGGGTCCAGAGTGAGAGCGGAGAGAGAGAGAGAGAGAGAGAGAGAGAGAGAGAGAGAGAGAGAGAGAGAGAGAGAGAGAGAGAGAGAGAGAAGAGAGAGAGAAGAGAGAGAGAGAGAGAGAGAGAGAAAGAGAGAGAGAGAAGAGAGAGAAGAGAGAGAGAGAGAGAGAGAGAGAGAGAGAGAGAGAGAGAGAGAGAGAGAGAGAGAGAGAGAGAGAGAGAGAGAGAGAGAGAGAGAGAGAGAGAGAGAGAGAGAGAGAGAGAGAGAGAGAGAGAGAGAGAGAGAAGAGAGGAGAGGAGAGAGAACTGTGTGAAGAATGAATGACAAATGAGACTGCATACGTCACTAGAGCAGAGAATGGCAAACTCTGCCCTCCGAGCTCCGACCAAATAGGGCACGATTGTCAAATCCAGACTGCACGGCTATATCGGTAACATTTTTACATTTGGATTTTCTTTTGCCTGCTGAAGGAGTCCCTCTTAGAAGACATACTACTGTAGCATGTAAAGTTAAAATAGCATCGGTTAGAACTGATCAATGCAGTAATTGCTCTCTCACGTTTCACAAATGTTACGCACGACTGACATTAATTTTCAGTGTCTCGTTTCATGACATGTCCTGTCCGATTCGCCGACTGATCCCAGAATCCTTCTTTCATCCGTCGCACATCCAGAACACTATACTCGACAATGAGTTATGACAGATGGGTAAAAGCTAGGGTGACCCGCCTGCTCCGCAAAGCAAGGAAGGGTTTTTCGACTTGCGGGTGTTGGGTTGGTCTCGTGTCGATCGGGTGTCCCTTTGCCGAGAAGGAAAAAAAGAAGAAAAAATGAAATTGATGTATAATCATACATAGTCATTTTTTGTTCGATTATCATTTTTTGTTTGTTTTTGTTCGATTGTTTCTTGGCGGCCAAACATTTGACTTTGGAAAAAGATCCATCGACTCGAGGTGCCCGTATCGGATTATTATTTAACATGTGTTCTTCCTAGGCGGGATTCGAAAACTGAAGGCAAGTTTGCTGAAAGCCGTCAATGAATTTCGGTAAAACATAGATCATATAATATTTGGAACATGCATATTGCATATTTCTAAGAATACCGTTTTTTGTCATGACACAAAAAACACTAAAGACGGTAATTAACAAAAGAACGATCACTGCCGCACGTGACGCGGGCTACCCTCCGCATTTTGCACTATTCGATGGCCCGCTCAATTCTCAACACCATAGTGTGTTCCCCCTGCCGATCGGACGCTCGGTTACCGCGATATTGCGCAGGGACCGGGTCCGTGTGGGCCAAATTTAGCTGTTTTCGCCCGATTTTGCATGTCGATTTTTACAAATATGACGCGAATTTGCACTTTTGGGACACGCACCACGCGTTCCCCACTTACCTAATCGAGCTTAGTTCCCCCAAAGGCACATTGCGCATTCTTGATCTATTAGTTGTGCAAATTTCATAGCGCTATGCGCAACGATTTGGCTTATATAGCCGGGAGCATAGGACGGTATATGGATATCTCGACCACGGCAGGTGCACCCACTTCCAGCAACATAAAACCATCTTACGTTACTGACCCACTGCTTCTGGTCGTTTGAGCTGGTGGTAAATTGCTAACTTTTAACTGGACGTTGGAACAGAGGATTAGGGTCTCTTATGATGCTTGAACAATGAGCACTGAGCACCCCATGAATGCCGGAAGATTCTATACCACTGGGATTCTATACAGTATACATACACTGCATTAATGTGCCTAATTCTCTTGAATGACTTCTATTTAAAATTTGACACGAACATGATTGCTTGGACAGCATAGTTACTGGAGAACCAGCAACTTCACCACGCAAAAATTCACGGTGCTATGAGACAGGTGATGAAAAAGAAAACACAATTTCATGTTTTCACGGTTATTCGTCAATCAGGAACCAAGATCATATTTTCATATAACTTGTATCTGTATCTAGTTATCTGTATCTATCTGTATCTGTTGCACAGAACTGTCGCCAGCAGGGCTGCGATGTCGAATGATTTTCGGCGACTTCGACTCCGATTCCGACTCCGGCTTCCAAAATCAGATAAACTCCGAATCCGACTCCAATTCCGGGCAAAACTATCGACTCCGACCGACTCTAACTCCGACTTCGTCTCCGCAGCCCTAGCGGGACTGCGGAATCGATGGATTTCTGGTGACTCTGACTCGAACTCCGACTGTCAGATCGACTTCGACTCTGGCCTGAACTGTCGACTCCGATTGACTCCGACTCTGACTCCACAGCCCTGGTCGTCAATGACCGGCGTTGACGTTGCTTTGTCGAGAAAAAAAGAAATCCAGAAAAATTTGCTGTCTATAATACAGTTTTCTAATTTTCAAAAATACATATAAAAAACTTGAAAGTTGTAAAACGATTAGCCAAAAGGGTGCTCATTCGACTCTCGTAGTGAGCAGTGAATCACCCTTGTAGTTGGACACGTTTGAAGCTTTTGATATCGTTGCATTCAGCTTGTAGTTTTTTAATGTAAGTACGGTTGAAATGGGATTGATTAAATGCGCCAACGCATTGTAGCCTCACACTTTGTTCCAGAATACCATTATAATTACAGAAAAGGCACAATTATATAGTAAGGTCGTGGGATGGCCGTCGCCTTATAAGACCAACCAACGAGGCCGAAAACACATGAAATTATGCATCCGTTCTTCCATATCATTATTCGATTTTCTACCTCGCTACAGCCTACAATCACATCCATCTACCCAAAATTTCAGGTTTCCTCAGCTGTGATCTGTGTTCAAGTCGGTCTCTAACCATCTCGGACTGCCAAACCACAATATCGCCTCGCACTATAGATGCCACGACGGCCGACATGAGTGCAACAGCGAAGCCCACCAACCGCCAGCATTTAGCAACTCAATGGATATATGGATCCATTAACGAATTACTCGAATAATGCTTTGATGCATCTGTATGATCGTGTGTAGACTGTTGAGCTGAAAATGGTTTATTTTAACGAGAAGTTTATAGGTTTGATGCCATATTTATATTCAGATGACATATGTCTGCAAGTTCCTGTTGAAAGGTGTGTTGCAAATGTACCTTTTCCCCCATCAATTATAAAATTTAACGCTTGTTCTTATTGAGCCGTCCAGGCTTCAGTCTGATGCTTCAGTTTTCACTCACCAATAGTTATCCCAGTTCAAAAGCAACCCAAAGCTGCAGTCCAGAGAAATTTGCCACAAAGGCACTCAACGGCACTATCAACACTTTCCAGCTTCCTCAGCAAGCACCCGCACACCTCATTGTCACCCCACGGTACCTCACTGCACTGAGAACCCATCAACAACCCTCAGTACCTTCAGCACCCCTCGGCACCCCTCAGCGCCCCTCAGAAAGCACTCACCTGTTCAGCATAGGCACCAGGGTCCAATCGTATCCCTCCAACACTTTGGAGACGGCCTCATAGATGCCCTTGTCCCCCTCGTCGCTAGCTTCACTGGTCGGAGTTGCCGCAGCCATAGCTGGACAATCACACAGTCTCACAGTTCAGCCACGCGCGGCGAGCGGAGACGGTCGCGGCGCACCACGCTAGAACGCGACGATTGTGACGCGCCCGCGTCGCACAACAGTGTCTATGTCGGTGGACGCTGAATGCTCTGTTGACGCGTCCAGGGGTGGTCAACCAGGCTTTGTGTCACCGAGAGCCGAGAGATGAACGCGCGTCTGTGCCCGCCGCAGGACTAAATAAAGACGGTCTTTCTTGGGAGGAGTTATTTATTAACCGTACGGCGGCGGTTAGGCTCCGCCCACCCGGACGACGGCAGCCAATCGCAGCGCGGCGGGCGCTCGGAAAGAAATCGCCGCAGAATGGCGAGCGCTGATTGGTGGAGAGGGCGTTCCGCTGACCAATTGTGACGGGGTGGATTAAGAATGCAGATTACGGACATTGGTTATGTTTGCTCGAAATCGGTTCGGCCACCAAGCGTGATGTCCGGTCTCGCACGGTTCTCACGGCTAGTTTCGGAAACACCCGAAACGTCGCGTTTTGCCCGTCTGTGAATTTAGCGTTGATAGTGCCCGGGTGCCGGCCCAAGATAACGGAATCAACGCACTGCCTGTGATTTCATTGTGCCTGTGTTTGAGCGTACTTGATGGCAGGTAAAGCGGATTCAAGTGCCGGCTTCCTACGCTGATGTAACACGGTTTGAAAATGTGCGTATTGCGACAGGCTGCTGACAAGGGTTCTGGGATTTATTTATTTTCAAATCGTATTAAAATGTTTGTCAAATGAAAGCTAGTTTACACGCCCGTGCTCGCCACCATTGCCGAGTTGTGTAGGCAATAGTTTGCTATTGAAATTAGCCATGTGGACAAAGTTACTCGTTTTGGTTTAGTGTATTCCATGCATGCCAGGTAAATGTGTCTATAAATGGCGTTACCCGTTTGGGATTACTGCATACAAAATGGGTAAGAATGAATGTAGCTCTCCATATATCCCACAAGGTGCAAACTCCGAGTGAACGCGTTCATGAATATCGATAAACACGAAAAGATCTTTCCGACTCGAGACATGGATATACAGCTCTTGTAACCGCAGGAATATTTGCGATTTGCACGTTCTCTTGTAGGAAAACCGTTGCCCTTAAAATCAATACAGGTATCGTAATGAACACTTCTCTTGCAGTCTTATTCGAGCGCAAACTGTGGCTCAATATGTGGGACAACTCCGTGACGTGTGTTCGGGTCTCGGGGTGATAAATTGTTCCTGCTTGGTTGAACGTCAGCAATTTAATCATCGCTCAGAACAGTGGCTATCCTTCCTGTTTTCCGAGCGTATTGATCTTTCATTTGTTACTCACTTAGAGGTTTTGCTCTAAGGTTTTACATTTGAATTTCGGAATCACCACGTTTCGTCGTCATAGCCGAATAGCTTGCGAACGAGCTTAGCGCAAACCTGTTTTACATGTGATGCATAAGAATTTCGAAAATGTTTGTGTTTTAGTATGAGCATTTACACATATGTAAGCACATTGGAATGTTCAGGCTGGGTGTTTTAAAAAGGTAGAGTTTATCGCTGCACCATTGGTCCTCTTAAAATTCATTCCTAAACAGTAAATGGAATATTTTGCTCTGCTGCCTTTTTCAAATTGTGTAATGAGAAATCTACTAACTGTGTAGAGATGATATCCTCATTCCTCTGTCGGTCAAGACCCCATGTATTCATTCCAGATTCAAATAAGACCCAGCTGAGATAAGAGACCCATCAAATTGGCTTGAAACCTCATGGCATAGGATATGGCTGTTTTGACGGATCACGACGATGCGTGGATGATGTGAGGATGATGTGGCATGGTTCATTGTGTTATGTGTAATTTATGGTGTTTTGAGCATTGCCCTAGAATCAACAAACAATGTAATCTTGACTTCTCCATGCATCTGGATTACGTATTTCTTAGAAAGGTATCACCAAAGCTATAATGACTCATAACAAAGTGTTGCATACTGGTAATCAAGGATCTGCCGACCTTCCTTCCACTCGAACAATGTTCATCACTGCGAATTCGTGGATTTCTTCAGGAACTCGTTGCAGGATAAATAGACGAGGTAGTGCGGCATGATTTAGACAGCGCATCGGCCATGTACCGGGCTTCTCAAAAAAGTTAGACGGATTTCTTTTGCGAATAGAGGGCCCCTAACAACATTTAAGCAAAATCAATGCACGTGGAAAAACGGAGAATTCTTCGTAGATTTAAAAAATGAAGCCGTGGTCTTAGGAAGTAAAAGCAAAACTCGTGAAATTATGCTTTCCTAGACTAAGTCGTTCGGTTCGACACCACGGAAGATCCGCTAACACTTTAGGGCATAGAGAGCAGCATCTTGAAACAAAATTTTCCACATTATTGACAAGTTTGTGGCTCGAGGAAGTGTTAATACAAGTGCCTTGTATCTCATTCATTAGCGTCCAACGTTTCACGTCTCTTTACGGTTAAGGGCGGGACACCCTGCAACAAAACATAAACGAACTGCAACAAGCTAATTCAACTGCAACTACAGGGTGATTTTTTTTTAACTGTTAAAAAGTAAACGTCAATGGTGGTCCCTAAATCGAAAAATCGCGTGCAAAAAAGCATTGCACGTGATAGATAAATCTGGGACATTTTGTATGGTGTCATCATTTGTCCCTTTTGACCGACGGCCTCGGCCCCAATGGAGCCTGAAAATGTCCCACCAATCGGGCACTCATGGTCCACCGCCGTTCAGTAAGGAACGACACAAAACGATGATTCTGAAGCATTGAGGCAGTTCGAAGCATACGATGATCAAGGAGATACCTCAGAAAGACGTTAAATAACGCATGAACAAGCTTGTAGTCATAAATAACCTTCAAACGGTCCATCTGGCGTATGAGCAGCTTTTGAAGAATCAGTTTTCAGGGAGAAAGAAAAACAGCGAATCAGACACCATCAGGGCCGCCAGTATCAAAATCCTCGACCTGCCCTCCCTAAACTTCTAGTTTTTGGACCCAGCTATGGCAGATATAACAAGAAAACAGTGGAAATATCTGGCAGAGCTGAAAATGGGCGATAGGAGCCTTTTCAGTCCGCCTAATGAGTATGAGAGTCCATGGTGCTGTTCAACACGTGCTCAGGCGGGCTGAGTCGTGTCGGTGAGAGAGGGGGTAACTTCAAGCACAAGTAAAATACACGATGGACGTTCCTTCGCATCGTGTCTGCATGAAATCAAAATGTCTCAGAATGCTCGTCATCCTGGCATATAATTTTGCAAGATATATTTGCATTTTAACCCCACTAGACCTCATTACTTTTTAACAAGTAAAAAAAAACACCCTGTAGACGTTTTATGTGTAAAATAATTACCAGCAATTTAAATTAGCTACATCCTAGATCTGTCACTGCATCACATTCTGTCAATCGCCTCTACCTTCCAAGGGACAGAACAGCGCTAAATTGCACAGCAGCTGGTGATAAATAAGATCGGTAGCAATTAAGATAACCGCAGGTTGTTTGAAATAGATTATATCAAGATATTTTGAAGTTTTCAAGAAGCAGTGCACTGATGTTTTAAGGAAGTCGAGGAAGTAGTAGGGCTGGTCGTTGGCAGCAGCGGCAAGAGGCATTGGACGTAGGTGTCGGTTTTTAATGGGTGTTGTTTATCGGTGAGTGCAGGGGGTAGTCGGCCTAGTCGCATTTCAAGTAAGACAAATAATTCAAAAGAGATGTGGTTTCCCGTTTCAATTTGCAACAAATCAGATTCAGTACTGTACTGGGGCCAGGGCATTCCCTGAAGAAGTCCGATGGGTGAAATATAGGTCATTTTTTCACGCAAATTTAGTTTTAATATTAAAAGAAAATGACATGAGCAAAGACTGCTTATTCCGTGATAATTATCGATAAATGGCTAATACCGTAGCTGGGGCTATGGTTTCCTACAAAATAGTTCATGTTCCTAAAACTATATAAATACCTATCAAACATTGCAACAACGAGCTGTCAGCTGCTGGCGTGATTAGATGGGACACTGCACAGTTGAGCTGATCATGTGACTAACTTATTTTTCGAAGGTGTGTGTAAGGGGGGGGAGCAAGTTGATGAAGCAATCTTACTATTTTTGCTTTTACCGATACACCACAGTCAATCTCATACACTATATATCGGGCACTCTTTGTCCACACCCCTGCCCCGACTTCTCACTCAATCAGCTGTCCAACGACCTGCCAACCCGTGCTGTCCACCCAGCGGGAGTCAGTGTGACGTCATTCGGACCAGTTGCGTCATTAATAACACTGTCCTTAGCTGGGCGCCGCCGCCCGGCGCTTCTGAGAGGGCATTGTCTGCGGTGGGGGTACCGCGATGGTGAGCCAACTGGAGGCTGCGGGTGAGGTGAGGTGGGGAGGGGGGGAGGGGGTGACCTGCCTGCGGTTCTTGCGGTTGCGTGTGGGAGGGGGAGGGTTGATGCGCTGTTTTTGCTTTTTAGATGCAAGGCGGAAAGGGAGATATAATTTACCGTTCCTGGAGTAGCAGCAGAGCAGTTTTGTAATTGTTGTTACTTTGTTATTTTTTGTGTTTATTTTTGTAGTTATTTTTTGATTTTTTTTGTAAATTTTTGTAGTTTTTGTTTTGTTTTTTGTAGTAGGAATATTTTGTAAATTATGTGATTTTGAACTTGCATATTTCTGTAGGCAAGGACCAAGGGTTTCCGAAGTTTTGATTTCTATATGTGAGCACTAGAATGTTCATTTTACCAGTGGGGATCGAAGCTGCGATGTGTTTGCAACAGTTACGTGACGTCTGGTTCTATGAGAAGATACTATATTCTATCGGATTTGTTAAATTGTATAGATTTAAACGCAAAATACCTCAGGCTATCAGTATTCGAAAGCCTTTCAGTTTAAGAGTGTGAGCTCGTAGACAGCACCTAACTAACTATTTCTGATTTGGAACTATTTCTGATAGTTATTTCTGATGAGGAATTACCGTGATAATAGTGAACACTGAACAAATGCCAGTTTGTAACAATATCCCTGGGAAACTGTGCCATTTCTTCACATTATCCGCATTCAACAGTAAATTCGCCAACGACAACACGACTTTCGCGACCCAGAACAAGAGCAAGAACATGCTAATCACATGTAAATGACACACTCCAGATGCCGTGCTCTTCAGCTGCGAGCAGTCACGCCCAACTCAACAGAGTCCTCTTTCACGGATGGTTGGAGCTCTTCAGGCCACTGCGTGGCGAACCGTGCCCTCTGAGGTAGCTGAGCAGAGAGTGAGCCACGCAGGGTGCTGCTTGAGCGGCGGTTAATTTGCCGGATTATGTTGCCATGGGAAAAGCCATATGATGCTGGCTAGAATTATGAGAACAACGGGATAACGGGGAATGCCAGTTACTAGATTTTCTCCGTTGCATTTGGTCTGACATCAGGTGTTCCGGGTGAAAAGTTCGATATACACGTTATTTGTAAGAACTCGAAAGTTTCTACTTTCTGAAAGTTTTACCTTTTGGTAAAAAGTTCACGGACCAAGAGCGTTAAGAGCCTTAAGAGCGTTATGTAATCGTGATCTTTTTGGACCGTGTACAGACCTACACATAACCTAAAAGAGCATGAGTGAATGACTTTTCATGACCTTGTAATTGAAGTATTCGCAATTAAAGGGAGATAATGACCTTTTTCCACAAAATCTGAGTTAGGATCATTTTCTGACAAAACACAACAAGTTATAATGTAAATTAAAACCATTTTGCTCAATGCGGTACCTTGCCGCAAATATCTCAACTTGAAGTCACGTTAGCGGGGAGCGCTGAAAATGACCGTTGAATAAGTACTTACATCACTTTTTGGTACTTGCATGTAATTTTGTAAAATGAGCGTATTCCTTGCATTTGATCTTCATCACATCTAGTTAGTTAATGGTCGTCTATAGTGCCTTCAAAAGATATTCATGGTTTGGGGGTGGTTTATGTCTAAATTTACGCAACTATTTTTCCTGTTCATCATCTGAGGCCATATGCTGCTATTTTAGTAGCAACGACTCAATTTTGAATCGGTCCCGCCGACTGCACAATAAAAGAAGATAGATACAACACTTTTGCGGCATCACTGAAAAACTTATGCAGTACTGTTATCAAAATTCTCATAACACCGTTCGACAAACCTGAAGTCTTTTTGAAATAAATATGCTTGTATTTTTCGCTTCAGGCTCTGAGGCCAAAATAATGAATTTCGTAGTCGCAATCGCAAGATTTGGCTGCGTTTCTGGCGCATGCCGTTCATTTGTGGCGCAAAATAATACTTGGAAACAAAGAAGAGTAGGCACTATGTACGAATCTAATTAATTCTAAACCGAATTAACTCTAATTCAAATTAGAATCCTTACAACCAAGCAACGACAAGGCGATAACATAAACAAAAACCCAAGCGTCGCTGTTTGAAACAAAAGCGCCATATACTGCGACTTTTTTATAGAGAAGGACAACGCATTTCGGTGGGTGTTACAAGTACTGCAAGTACTGCTTCTTTTTTGCAAAAATAAAACCTTTTTCACATACGAAAATGTGCTAGGAAATTTTCATATTTTATAGAAACTACAGTAGAAATAGTATAGATGTCGAGTAATTTTTATTAAAGAAAAAAGAAAGCTCATTATCTCCCTTTAAACATCTTGAAACAAAGATGAGATGCTCCAAAGTTTAGCTCCATCTGAAAGGCATTCGGAACAGTTGCAAAAAAGCTAGATATTACACCTTTCACTCATGGTGGCAAGGCTCAGCTCTCAGCTCGTGCTTTTTTTAACGAATTTGTCTCAGCATTTTTTGACATTTTCTTCATATCATTAATCGTCTGTCCTATGCCAGTTTTCTTCGTTCTTTCTTCCACACCTCACATTCGACTCGTCCCATTTTTCGTTCTCTCTACATCGTCGTTGCCGTCGCTTACCGTCGCCACCGGCGGTACCGGCAGAAGCGCGCGCGCGTGCGCTGGTGTCCTCCGCCGGCGGCGGGCGGCTCCTTTGAAGTGGGCGGGCGGCTCCTTTGAAGTCGCGCGCGGCGGGCGGCCGCGGGTCACGGGCTCCGGAAGCGGCCCGGAGGTCGGTCCGTCGCCCGGCCGCGCCGCGTCGCTCCCGACGCACCGGTGCCGTCGAGCACGACGAACCGCCTCCGGTGCAAACGGCGGGTGTAGGAGTCGGAGCCGGATGCCCCGATGCGGTTGGTCTGTATGCCATGTGTTCCAGGGAGGCGATTGTGGGTTAGGTTTGCCATTGCGGTTGGATTGAGAACCGCGCCGTATCATTTTCGAGTGATAGTTAATGTGTTTTCTGGATAGAGACTGCAGATGAAGACGTGTGGATCTCCGCATGTTTTTTTTTCTCTCAACAGGATGTATTGTTTCTCTCAGCTTCTGTGCTTGATACGTGTGTTTTTGCAACCGTTTCTGCTAATGCAGATGAAATGATAAACCGCCTGAAAGAAGATCAGAAGCCACTGTATACCTTTTCAATGAGCCAGATAATTTTATGTGAACTAAGCATTCCGTATTTTGCAATGATATTTAACTTACTGTTTCTTTTTTCGGACAAGAATATTTAAAATACAAATCTGAATTCGAAGCGAAAATAACGGTTTCTTACCGTGTTCCAAATTCCAATTTTATGGCTGCCGCATTCCCTCCTTTTTCTCCCTGCTGAAGTCCCACCGTAAAATGCACAGTGTTTATAAACCTGTCTGGACTGTCGTGCTCAATCCTCATTGATCCGTCTGTATTTGTTTTACTCGTGTTCCACACCATCACTAGCATATCTTTTCGGCTCCCATGACTGTAGTAAATCGGTGAAAAGCGTGAAAATGGGAGCTGCTGTAACGGCCGTCTCTCAAGTCTTGAGCCTTAAAACCTACTAAGAAAATTGACACATATACATATTTATAAGACATTGCATATTAATTCGGCTTTACGATTTAGCATCTTTGACTACGTGGACACATACATATATAGTTGCGAAACAAAATTAACCTCACTTCACACCACACTCGCCTCAGCTGTTGTAATCAGGCGTTAAACAGTAAAGCTCTGTTCCCGTGGATGGTCGACAGGTCAGGTATGCCCTGGGGGCCTGTCGTCATCAATTAGTTCCGCGTGTCGCCGCTAGGTGATTGACGAGCGCGGGAGCTGGCGGGCGGGCGGCTCGGTGGGAGGGGAGGGGAGGAAGGGGGACGTCAGCCGACGGGCAGCGGACATTACCTGTGTGAAGTCGAACGGCGTATTTGGTTGCGATTGTTAGACATTCATTCATAAATTCATTCATTCATTCATTCATTCATTCGTTCCGTTCCTTTATTGATTCATTCATTCCTATTTCATTCATTTATTCGTCCGTTCGTTCGTTTCTTTCGTTAGTTCGTTCGTTCGTTCGCTCGTTAGTTCGTTCATTTATTAGCTTGTTTCCACATGCCTAGCGTCCTTGTTTCCATCCCTCCTTGCTCCCTTGCTCGCTTGCTTCTTTTTTATATTCATTCATTGATATATTTTTTCTCAACCACTGAACTGACTTAACTGCTAGGCTATTTGAATTTTCGATCGTATAACTATTCAGTAGCAATGAGAGTAGAATGTCTAAAATAAGTGGTCCGTAAATAAAGAATGGGTAAAACTGGAATTCACTGAACATAACATCCGATAGGCCGGGAAAATGATACTCGTCAGGCAGACGGACCGACAGACTGGACAACCAATAAAGCAGCCGGCAAACCAACAGACAGACCTACACCAACAGCCGGTCTGCCGTTCCGTCCAGTCCACCACTCGCCCGACTCTCAGTTGCGCCTCGAGTATTTCTGGGCCACCGCCTGGGCACAGGACCGGGCACGGCACCGGGCACGGGCCAGGCACGGGCCGTCAGCTTCTCAATGGAAGCTCTGTTCTTGTTCGAGCGGTGGAAAGGTGCGGGAACAAATGAGCACCGCCTGCCAGTGCGGGTCAGACGGGCCGAGAATATCGAGCGGTGGTGGCGGTGCCGGGAGCTGGCACGCTTGACTACCTTGGCAGGTTTGGTGGGCTAGCTGCTAGCTTCCTAGCTGGCTGGCAGGCTAGCTCAGGTAGCTGACTAGTTGACTAGTTCAACTACATCGTTGGTCGGCGTGCCTAGCTTACTGGTGTTGCGTTTAGATACGTGAAGAATCATTGACCTTTTCCTCGAAAATGTAAAAACAATGCCAAAAGTTATATTGAACGCGGTTCAATATAATTATATATATAATTATATTACCGCATTCAATATAACTTTTGGCATTGTTTTTACATTTTCGAGGAAAAGGTCAATGATTCTTCACGTATCTATTCTCGCTATGTTCCTCGCTAAAGCACTTCACACCATTAATTTCATCGAACCGAGAGGTGTTGCGTTTATCTGGGGTCAGTTTTACCAATAGAAAATTATCGTCTGCGGCTCATGCTATCGTTGGCTATTTTAGGTCAATATCGCCCAAATTCTCGCCAGCCTTTCGAAAAATAAACGCTGACAATGTGACAAATAATATGCAAGCCTAACTGATGTATGTTCATATCAGCGGTAATTTTTCGCGGTGTTTGTGATTGGGGAATCTTGTGGAAAGCTTAAATAAATTTAATATCCTCAACCGGCGATTTTTCATCTTGGTAAAATTGGCCTCTGGTCTTTTTCAAGCTGTCTGCTAACAAGCACGCTGGCACTCATGGCCTATGTCTGGTTAGGTGAAAAACTCAGCTATGTCGATGTCAGTGCAATAATCTGCATAATTTTCCTCTGTCACGCTCTGTTTGATCTATTTTGTGGCAAACGTTCCCTATATTTTCAAGGCTCAATTTTTAAAGTAATCATGTGCATGACATCAGGAGAGTAAAATGAAAGAGAATCTTCAAGTTAGTGTGGAAAATCCAGTATCCCACTCCAACTTGGAGTTTTGTGTCCAGGTTTCCACACCGGCCATACTCATTCACACTCAAGGATACTGGCGGATCCAAGAGGGGTGAGTGAGTATGGGGCATTCGCCCTCGTACTGCGTCCGGAATCAACACATTTTCTCAATTTCCTCGTATAACAAGACAGCTAACCGGTAACCCTCTTTATTACGAATGGTTCGTCTGAATTTTAAACTGCACGGTAATGAATGCTGGATAGGACACTAATCGACACCTGATAAGTTTTCAGAAATAACTAATTAAAGAGCTTTTTTAAGTAAGGCCCTCCTCCATGGCTCCCAATGCCACCTGTATGGAACCGCCAGCATTCAGGGCCCGGCTAGGACACATGGTGATGGGTATAGGACGCGTAGCAGCTTGGCCCAATCGTCCAACTTCAGTGGCTTCTTCAGTCCGTGTTCTCTTCGCCGTTTGCAGAAAGACATTTACTAAGCAAGATTACTAAGCAGGGTCACGGAAAGATTAGGTATAGCAATGGGTAGGAATAGGCTAGGACACGGAATACAGATTCCTTACAGATGCTCCGCCCGTATTTCTGGCACTGTCGATGCCTGTTTTCTGCCGTACCCCATAGATGTCGCCAGCGTCCGAGGGAGGCTGAGGCGCTGGATGCTAGATGTCGCGTAGGTCCAAAGGGCTGCGGTGCCTAGTCAGGAAACGGTATAGAGGACGGTAGGATCGCTAAGAGGCAGTCTGCTCGATGTTAGCAGCGCCGCTGGCTGATGGCACCTTTCCGCTGTTATCGTGATTACTGATTGCTGATCTTGATTGAGCTACCACGTTAGCGATTCGTTTATCGTTACGTTACGCGTTGCTCTTGTTCAGCAGTGATCTTACTTCTGAAAAGAATGCCGACTACTGTTCTCGACATGAGATCATAGATCCTATCTTGCCGTTTTCTTCGAGATCCACTCAGATCATCGATCCTTCACTTGGATCCATGGACAATA